AGTATTGGTAATAAATGCGAACAACATGAACATAAATATTCACCTAAACATCGTAATAATTCATTTGTTGATGCTTGAATGATTGTTTTATGAGTTGTAGTTTTTTCTATTGTACGAATAGTTTTTGTACTTGATGATAAACTATTATTTATTTTTGTGTAGGAAGACAATTGAGTTCGATGATTTTGATTATAATATTGTGATTGAGATTTTGGTAAATGATATGACAGTGGAACAAATGCTGAATAACGCTTATTTACTACCGTACTTGAAACTAAAGTAAGAGAAAAAGATATAAAATATACACAAACCGGAATTCCTGACTTCAATAATGAGAATGTTCAGTTCGGGCATTTTTAATTGTTCTATTCCAGTCATGAGAATTCTCGGATGCATTTGTAACGAAGGAACAATCCACTTCTTTTATTACTGATTACGTTATTCAATATGTATTATATAATATATCTATTCATACTTGGCTACCTCTCACCAAATCAAATAGATATTTGAATTCCAAATCACTCTAGGGAAAGTTATTTATAAGCACGACATATGTCGATTCTCTCTTTTTTTTGGAATTACTGAAAAGTATTCTCATGGAAATTAGAAATGAAAAATGGGAGATTCTTTTTTTTTTTTATCGTTCTCAAAAGTTACAATGTCTGTATTCTTACAAATAAATTTAGTTGCCTTCCAATTGAATTAGTTATCTGCTGTGATTAACTTCCTGTCAATTTCAAATGCAAAAAAAAAGTACTAAGAAGAAAATTAAAGATCCAAAAAACTAATAATTACAGATGAATGGTATCAGAGTATTAATTATAGCCTAGTACTACACCTGATCTATTCACCTGTTCTAATTTCATATTGATGTTGCTGTTTATGTTGATTAACAGCATTTGTTGTTTGATTTTCTTGAGTTGTTAATGGTTCTTGTTGTTTTTGAGATATTATATTATTTGAATTTTTTATTCTACTGTTCAATGATGATTGTTGTTGGTTTTCGTGCTTATCTTGTATAGTATTCGTTGTATTATTAATTGATTTTGTCATAATTTGTTTATTAGTTGAATCATTCAATGGTTGTTTAATCGAAAAAAGACTAAATGATTTTTTAAAATTGATTTGTCTTTCATGATTAGTTTCTTGTTGTAATTTTTTTGAAATATTGTTCTCTTTATTGGATTTTTCACAATTCTTTTTCATTAAATCATGAAAATTTTGTGTTGTTAGTGATGTTGATAATTTATGACGATTATTTTCATCAATAGCTGTTCTATAACGTTTATTTCTTCTATGTGAATGACGTAGAGAAAATTTTCTTATATTTAATGTATCGTTTATTATTTGTAATTGTTTTTTCCATGATGAACGATTTGGTGTTGTTGTTGTTGTCGTCGTTGTTGTTGTTGCTGTTGTTGTTGTTGTTGATGATGATGATGACGATGATAATGAAAGATGATTATTAAGTTCATCATGACAAGATTTTGATTGACGTGGTGATACATTACCCATATTAAATGATTTGATCTAAAAATATTTATTTAAATTTTCTTAACATGAAAGACTAATTAAGTGTATGTCGTTTGTCAAGGTATGATGTCGTCAGACAAAAAGCTTATTATCATTCTTAGTCATCATATAATGCTACTGACAATAGTTGAATGTTCTTCGAATACATCAAGCATACGCGCATCAAATAGAAGTTAAGAGAAGGACCATGTTTCTTTTTTTTTTCATACTCTTCCGGAACTTTTTTTTTCTATCGTTGTTTCTCATTTCTTCTTCTTCTTTTTTTGTCTCTCTCTCTCTCTAGTGATTTTTTGGTGATGTTAGCGTGCGCTGAATACTTTCTCTTGGATGATCTTTCTTACTGTAAACAGTGAGAAAAAAAAAATAATAAAAGAAAAAAAGACTTCAATTAAACAAAAACAAAGAACCCGTTGGTTTCATCAATTTACTTTACTTGCTAAGTTAGTTGAACTTTTTTCGTCAATCTCTCTTTTCAATGAGTATTATTCTTTTCTTCTATTTAATTTTCCATTATCCTCTCTTGCATGCACTCTCATGCTGAGATGGAAGCATCCTTTAGACATACGCGCGCGACCGAACACATTCTGTTTCTTTTTCTTTTCTATGCACCCTCCTCTCTAAAAAAAAATTGGTTGAACACTCTTTCAGAATGAGAGAGTAAGCGAGAGAGAGAGAGAAGAAAAAAAAGAGTCAGACACCAGAAGGCGTAGTCTTCTATACGCACAAAAAAAAATGTATGTGTGTGAACTAGTTCTTTTCTTCGTTTCACCATTATTACCATGTTTCCATTTAGCTGCGTATGTCGCACGGAACTAGTTATGAATTGAATACGTGTGTAAGATGAACTTAGCCTACTTTTACTCGAATAGAAATGTCGATTGACATAAAAAAGACAAAAAGGAAAAAATTGAAAAGGAAGGAAAAATGTCGCCAATGTTGTAGTCCAGACTAATTCGTTTTTCTTGTCGATTGTCGTAGATAAATCGGAAATGTCTCGATGCTGATCGAGCGCGAATGGCTTCTATATACTAATTGAATGAATAAAAAGCACATCTACTACAACGTACTAACCGTATATATATATATATGTAGAAGATCTAATGATGAGAATGCTTGTCATTGCAGTGAAAATGAGAATAGATCGACACTGACTGTTAGTCGAGTTCATTTTTCTGGTTTGTTTGATTAAATTAGTGAAGGGTCGACGGAGCATCTGATGGACAATGAAAAGAAATATGAACTGACATATACATACGGGGTCATGAACATCCTCAAGCTTCCTTTTTTTTCATCAATATAATAGCAATGCTGTTGTTGTTGTTGTTGTTGTTGTTGTTCAAAAATCTAATTTATGCATCCGAAACGAGATGTCGATGATGTATAGACGTCATCAAATAGCTTCGATAATTTATTCTTATATGCATTATTATTCATTCATTAGACAAGATAGATACGATGTCTTCTTGAGATTCTTTTTTTTTTTCATAGATAGATCGATAGACTAATTGTAGATTCCAGTGACTAGATTAGACATTGTATTGATAGGCTTTTTATTTTGTATCAAAGAAACTAATGGATGTAATATAAAAAAATATATTTATTCATAAGATGCTTCTACTTAAAAAAAAAAAGATTCGAGGACAACATGAAATAAATAGATTTGAGAACTTTTAAGAATTGGACTTGTTCGTATATGTGACCTATGTGAATTATCAAAAAACATTGCCATATTTGATACACTTGAAAAAAAAATTAATCACTTAAGTTCACTCATATTCATCAACTACTAAATTAAAATTTTAGCTATAATCCAAAAGATTTAGTTGATGATTTTATAGACTTTTATCTCATATTTTTTTAATAAAAAAAATCTGTGCATTGTGTTCAAGAGAAAAAAGAGTGGTGATTAATGTCGGTACTTAAATAGAAATTACCAATAAGATTGCCTTGAGCATATGAGTACATACAATCTTTATATTCAAATGTTCACCTCGAAAGAAACAACTAAAAATAAATATAAAATTACAACAAAATGCAATACTATTAACTAATTTACATAGCATATTCTTGTTCTATTCATTAGAACAATTTTCATTTTGTATTTATCTTTCTTCATGAATTTGAAATTATGCTCTTTGAAAACCAATTGAAAAATGTATTGAATACATTTTATTCTGTCCTATTGAATTGTTATTTTAACAAACAAACTTTTTTGTCTTGTTGAATTCTTATCAAAATATTCCGATCGTTAGTCAAGGTCAAATAATAAATCAAATTGAACGATTAATCGATACATACATGGGCAATATGATTGTAAAAAATTTTCTTTTCATACAACTCTTTCTTTATATATTTGCCTATGAGCAAGTCTTGTTCAATCAATCAATTACTTGCACGAAAACATTCAATAAAGATAAATATCAATCAAACTCTGAGAAAAAAAAAACATAGATTATGAAAATGATAATATATAAAAAGAATTATTTTCATTTCAGATCAAGAATGTCATGAAAAAAAAACACAAAAAAACCTTTGATAGGCAAAAGAATTCTTAATATATATGAATAATTTATCAAACAAACATCTCTTCAAACATTATTTCCCAAACAATACAAACAAGAACATTCTATAAGGGCTTAATCTGTTATTAAAAAACTAATATAAATAAATGAATATCAATTCAAGGATCAATTCATGCAACAGATTCACTTATTTGACTATAAAAATGAATGCAATATTCAACAAAACGCATTATAACTGAACAATAAATAGTTCAGTATTTTCTATTCATATTTAAATGTACATGAAAAAGTTTTCTATTAATATTTAATAGAAAAAGAACCGTGTATAAGGTCAAACTTTGAAGGATGTTGGCTTAATGACACATTAAAATGTCTTTTACATTTTTAGGTTAAACTTTGATCATACTTTCGTCCTTTAATATGTCACACCCTATAGACTTAGCGAATCAACAACAAAAGTTAAATCACATTAAATATTAATTTATACAAAAAAAACAATTCAAAATGACAGATGTCGATTCACAAATACCTATAATATATTTTCTAATATGGCTTTTATTAATTAATGAAGTTCGAAGTTTTTTTTTATAATTTCATTTGAATATCTCTTATATGATCTATGAAATAAATCACTAATACTTAATGTATTTGAAATGCTTGAATCAATTGCAATAAGAATTGTTTTTAGTTTTAATCTTATCATTTATTTCCAAAGAAGAAGCTTCATATCTAATTTAAAAAATCAAAATATTTCCCTTATATTATCTGTTGTCAAAAAGACAATATAAAGTTAAATTTTGAATTTGAAAAATCAGAACTAATAATGATGTCATCAAAGAAGACCTAAAAGTAATATCAAACTGGTGTTAGACACAAACATAGTCAATGAATATGTGAGTAAATGGAAATAAAAAACAGAATGTAATATTGTTCTAATGATAAAGTTTATTGTCTTTTGTTACGTTTTTTAAGTGCTCTAGCACGAACACCACCTAAGACAAACATTGTTGCTTTGTTCGAAAGAAAATCTGGTAGAAGCGATTGACCAAAATCCTAAATAATTATCAATCAAAACAACAAGCATTATCACTCAATTATATTCTTTAATTTTACTTGAAGTTCATGTGCCCAATATCCAGTTGTAAATGGAAGTAAAATACGATCAATTGCACTCGCAACAAATTGTTCTGGTGTTGGAGAAAATAACGATGATTTACGAATGCCTGATAATTTACTAACAACAAAACCCGGACATAACGATTGAACTAATACACCACGTGATGCACATTCAGCAGCTAATGATCTACATTTGAAAAGTAAAAAAAAAAAAATGACAAGATCAATTTTAATGTTTTTCAAAATTTAACTAACCGTGAAAATAAATCAACAAATCCTTTTGTGCCTGAATAAAGCGCTAATAATGGTACTGGTCGTCGACCTGAAACACTTGATAAATTAACAATAAGACCTCGTCGTTTTTGAAGCATATCTATACATATATAATAAAAAATAAATAAGTGTTTTATAATGGTTTTAATGTAGAAATAATATATAGACCTGGTAAAATCATTTGTGTTAAATAAGCAACTGAATCAACATTACATCTAATCATATCGTTGACAAGTTTTGCACTATTTTCAACTTTATCGAAAAATTCTGGATATTCATAAGACATTCCAACATTATTCACTAGAACGCCAATATCCAAATCACGAATTTCTTCACGAATTGTTGTATAGATTGAATTGTCTTCTAGATAGATTTAAAAAAAAAAAAAAGTCATTTATTGATTTTTCTTCTCTTTCTCATTTAATAAGCTTTTATTTATTGATTTTTGTGATAAAATCTTTTTTTTTTGTTGTTCTTATCTAAAGTATTTTTTCATGCGTATCTTTAATATAAATGATACTTATCTAAGTATCCTATTCTACTGAAAACAAACAAACTTACTTGTAAAATCAATAGCAATAGTTTTAACTTGTACAGTTGGACTTTTGCTTTGAATTTCTTTTGCTACTTGTTCTAATTTTTCTTTTGTTCGACTAATTAAAATAACATTGAGACCTAATAAATATTAATTATTTGTTTTTTTCCTTTTGAATTAATTTTTCTACCTCGTTTCGCTAATTCAATTGCATATGCTCTACCAATTCCATCTGTACTACCAGTAACCAATGCCCATTCACCAAATTTTTTTATATCAAGTCTTACTGGACATAAAAGTCGATAAAAAAAAGCAGCAAGACGTGCTGCAACATAAACCAGTGCAAATGCTCCAGTTGCTGCTAAAAACCCCATTGTCAAATTTAATTATTATTTGTTTTCTGCGTATTCAATGAATAATAATGAACAAGCTAGAAAAAAAAAAAATATTTGTTATTACGATCTTTAGACCAATGAAGTTAAATCTATCCATGAAATATTTTGTGGATGAATAATAGAAGAAAGAAAGAATGTATTGTGTTTGTTCGTTTTGTATTTGCTCTTGTGTATAGACACACACACACAGCAAATATATAGTGTCAAATATATATACGATAAATTCAACATCATGGCTGATTATCTTGCATCGATATTTGGTACAGAAAAAGATAAAGTTAATTGTTCATTTTTTTTTAAAATTGGTGCATGTCGACATGGTGAACATTGTTCAAAATTACATAATAAACCAACATTTAGTCAAACATTATTATTAAAAAATCTTTATTTAAGTTTGGAAAATAGTTCACAAAAAGCAGATAAATCATTTATTGCTGATGAAATAACTGAAGAACGTATACAAGAACATTTTGATGATACATTTGAAGAATTATTTGTTGAATTAGAAAGAAAATATGGTGAAATTGAAGAAATGAATATTTGTGATAATTTATCTGAGCATTTAGCTGGTAAAAATTATTTTGATTTAAATTTTAAAATAGAAAATTTATTATTGTTTTTTTTTTTTGTCCTCTATAAGGTAATTGTTATGTAAAATTTCGTTTTGAAGAAGATGCTGAAAAAGCAGTTGTTGATCTCAATAATCGTTGGTTTGATGGACGAGCTGTTTATGCAGAATTAAGTCCTGTAACTGACTTTCATGAAGCATGTTGTCGTCAATATCAGATGGGGTATGAATTGAGTGTGATCCTATTTTAAATTATATCAATCTTCATTTTTCTTATTCTATAGAAGATTTTTAAAAATTTATACACAAAAAAAAAAAATCGAATGTCAAGATCAGTGAGAATTATATAAAATTTTGAACTCGATAGTATATCATACATTGAAAATAAATAAAAAATTGAGAAAGATAAATTTTCACACTTATCTAGAGCCAGTTGAGTTTGTCTAAAAACTTTATGTTGACCAGTTTTGGTCAAATAAGCACAGTCGGATATTCAACCTTCAGACTATTTGACGACCGTTATTAACACTGGAAAAAAAAGGAATAGAATAATCAAATCTTGAAAAATTTCATATCGGATTTATGAGGCTAATTAGTTCTTATCGTAGGACTTATTATTCTACGGTTTATTTTTCCAGTGAACCATGTCCGCCACAATAAACTTCGATCGCAAACTGTATAAAACGAGCGTATATAGCATCGTTTTTAGCTGTCTCGACGATTGTAATCATCGTCCTCAGGGGCTTCTGGCCTAACCCAACGAATCATGTTCTAAAAGTAATAGCTAATTATAACTTGATTCTTATAAGATTATCGGAGAAATATGTCTAGATAATAGGAAAAATGTATTTCCCATCTTTCGAGTAACTATCAGACTGAGATAAAAAAAGAAAAAAAATTTCATTCAAATTAGAAGTGTAGTTCCACGTCCAACAATTTTTTTAGCCTTTAGATTATTATTACATTGTATATTATTGATTAATAATTGATATAAAAACAAAATAATGGTTTTATAATCGGCGAATATAATTTAATTGAAACTTAAGAAGGTTTACTCATATTGTAAACAACTATAATGAGACATGATATATTCGTTTATGTATAAATTTCTAAATAGTTGATACCGTAGAAACAATATTTATCTTCTAATTGTTTTGATTTTTAGTGATTGTCCACGAGGTGGTTTCTGTAATTTTATGCATTTGAAACCAGTAAGTAAAAAAAATTTTTTGTCTATTTAATTAAAGAATTTTATTTTTTTTTAATATTTTAGATTTCAAAAGATTTAAGAAAACGTTTATATCAACGACGTCAACGAAAAACTCGTAGTGGTTCACGATCGCCATCTCGTGATCGTTCACGATCACGTGAAAAAGATCGTCGACGACAAATAGAAAAAAAAGCAAAAATAAATAAATAAATCAATAAAACCTTTGTTTTGTGTTTTAATAAATTGAGAAAAAAAAAGCAAGGCTAAAAAAAATAAATTTTTGTTGTCTATTCTAGATAATGAATGAAAATAATTCCAATACCAGTGGTGATGTTGATCGATGGGTTGAATGGATAAAAGATTGCAAATATTTACCTGAAACTGATTTTAAACAATTATGTACAATAATATCAGATATTTTTTTTGAAGAATCTAATGTTCAACCAGTTTTTTCACCAGTAACTATTTGTGGTGATTTACATGGACAATATTATGATGTACAAGAATTATTTCGCACAGGTGGTTATCCACCTGATACACAATATATTTTTATGGGAGATTTTGTTGATCGTGGTTATTATAGTTTAGAAACTTTAACACAATTACTTGTTTTTAAAGCTAAATGGCCTGATCGTGTAACATTATTACGTGGTAATCATGAATCAAGACAAGTTACACAAGTTTATGGTTTTTATGATGAATGTATGAAAAAATATGGAAATGCTAATTTATGGAGATTTTGTTGCCGTTTATTTGATCTTATGCCAATTGGTGCATTGATTGATAATGAAGTTTTATGTATTCATGGTTAGTTAATTATTATTATACATTTAAAAAAAGACAATAACTTTGTTTTATTTTTTTTTTAGGTGGACTTTCACCAGATATTGGTACAATTGATCAAATGCGTACTATTGAACGTGATCAAGAAATACCACATCGTGGTGGTTTTTGTGATTTAATGTGGTCTGATCCAGATGATATTGATTGGTGGGCTATATCACCACGAGGAGCTGGTTGGTTATTTGGAGAAAAACCAACAAGTCAATTTATGCATAATAATCAATTAAGTTTAATATGTCGTGCTCATCAACTTGTTCAAGAAGGTCAGTAACTATATGTTTTTTTTACAATGTTTAAAATGACAGTTCTTTGATAAACTAGTTAAGTCTTATTAAATGATCATCGGAAAAAAGAAAACTACTACTGTATTGTTATTAACTTTTATCTGATTATACTGATTGGTAGTTGAATGTATTTGTCTTTTTTTCTTCAATCGAAATACCAAACACGTACTATAGATGTATGTCTTCATTTTTCTATTTGTTAGTCTCTTATCAGATTTGATTTGTTTTTGTTTATTGTCTAGGTAAACAAGATATACATTACATTTTAATTTCTTAAAAGAAAAATATGAAATTCTATGTTTTTTAATCGTTTGTTATTTTTCCGCTTTCCTGATATTCTTTCTTGATTAAAAATAAAGGTAGGCAAATACAGTCATATAAAAGAATAATATATTAGATATTAAAAATGAATTGAATATGATTTTGCTAATATGATAATATAAAATCAACAGAAAAATAATTTAAAGATTTCAAAGACATAAAAAAAAAGAAGAAGAAAAAGATTGATGATCAAAATTTCTTTTTCTCTGCGTTTAGTTTCTTCACATGAATGAATATCTGTATTTCTCATGGGACACATTAGCATTAATAGTCGAGATTATTCGTATATTTCTGTTTCTTGTTTTCTAGGGATTAAATTTATGTTCGATGAGCATCTTGTAACGGTATGGTCTGCACCAAATTATTGTTATCGGTGTGGTAATATAGCTGCTATACTTGCTTTTCATACAGCTACAAATCACGAAACAAAATTATTTAATGCTGTACCCGATAATGAACGGGTTATACCAGCTAAAACAACGACACCGTATTTTCTTTAATAAAAAAATAAATTCAAGAAATTTTTTTTCAATTGTTTCGTTTTTCTTTGTGCCAACAGTGTTGCTTTGTGTATAGAAAAAAACAAAAGTATTTCTTTTTCTTCTAGATTTTTTTTTTTCGTATGAATTTTTAACATATGGATGCAGAAGATGAACAAAGTAATTATCAGATATACGAAAAAAAGAATTAACCTTTTATTGTATTTATTAAACTTTTTTAAGGTCTCGAAGAACGTCTTCGTGCACAGAATACTACTACTAATAATAACATTACTACCACTACTAATAATAATAATAATACAAATAAACCTTTAACAACTCGTGTAACAACGTCAACTGTTAAATCCAATCGACATACATTTAAAGATGAAAAAATTGAATCTCATACTGATAAAAATGGTGTTTGTTATAGAGTCGGAGGTGAGAAATAAATTAAAATTTTTGCAAAATCAATCTTTTTTCTATTATTATTATTATTATTTAGATCATGTTTATTTGGAAACAAATAAACAAGCTGAACCATATTCAATAGCTAGTATTCTTGATTTTCGTTTAGTATGTTAAATAGTCATTAATCATATCTGAAAATAATATTTTCTATATCTAGACAAGAAAAGATCATGTTATGCTTGAAGTACGTTGGTATTATAGACCTGCTGAAATTCCACCTAATCTTTATCATCTTCTTATTGAAGATCGTTATCATGAAAATCGTAAGTTTTACCTGTAAATTATTTATTTGTTCAATATAATTCTATATTGCTTGTTCTTTTTTTTGTCGATTCTTTTTCTATATACTATAATGCCAATAGTGATGGCAGCGTCAGTCAATGTCTATATAAATCATTGTATAATGTGTATAGTAAAATGTCATTCTTTCTTGCTCTATCGTTCTTTTATATGAGGCGGATAAAAGAACATATATCCTAGTAGAAGGAAAAAACAAGCCAGACAAATGCGCACAATTGATAATCATCAACATCGGGTGTTATCTCTATCGAATAAGAGTCAAATCCAAGCTAATAATTAAACAGTAATAGAACCAATTAGTAGTCAATGTGTGTGTGTCTGTATTTAATCTATGAAATTTTTCATTAAAACCTTTGTTCATATTATATCGATTCATTCATTGCTTTTTGTACCCAAGAGAAAGAAAGAAAAACAAAAACCAAGCGTTATTACTATTCATCATCATCCAATACATATCATCAATAAGTATCGAGCAAAGAAAGTCAATGTATAATAATACATATATAAACACATTCTTCATATCTTCGTTAGCAGAACAATGTGTATATATGTTGTATGACGTGTATTACTACAAACGATTACTGATTTTCAAGAAAAACTGTCATAGTTAGTCAAGTAAATTATTCTCTTGCATTCTTATATTTTATCTGCATTTCTTCCTTTTTTTCATTACTTCATTTCTTCCGTTTTTTCTGTTTTTTTTCTATGTTTTTTTTTTGTTGTGTTGCTTACACTGGATTGACAGATTATCTTTGAGACAATAGATGTCAATCCGATTCATTTGGATGTAATTTGACTATGAATAGCTAAACAAAAATAATCATTGTAATAATAAAACGTTTTTCTTTTTCTCATTCTTCACATTCGATTAAAAGTTTAAATCGTCATCTATTTATATATATAAAGGAGCACATAAGGGTGTATGTTGATTGTTTGTTGCTCTTCTCGCCATTATGTGTTTGCCACACACACACACACATACACGCTTGCATCGAGTAGTTTGTCGTCGTTGTCGCTTTTCTTTTTTCTGTCTCTCAACAGGAGCTCCTGCTTACTCTCTTTAGCTGCCGGAGGGACAAATAGAAGAACAATATCACATCATTGTCGACGACAACGATGTTGTATATGGTGTCGTGTGTCGTTTTTCTTTTTCTTATTTTCCATTTGTGATTGATTTTTTTCTTTACTTCACTCGTTCGTATATACATACATACTTAAGCGTACACACTATTACAGGTGAGTAAAGAAAAGTAATGTCATCATCATCATCATCATCGTCATCATCATCATTATTGTTATTATTATTATTATTTTTATTGTTTGACATAAGTCGATATAATTAGTCGTGGACATAGCACATAGTCAACTATCATTAAAATTCAATTTTGTTCAATGATACATATAAAGAAAAAGAGATAAGAATGTTACTACTACTACTACTATTACTACTACTACTATTGACGAGTGGTATTGATCGGCATGTGTGGAGAGATTTCCTCTTTTTTCTCTCTCGACATATTGACGTCTAGTACTCATTGGTGATGGTAGTATAGAGAATTTCTTTCTTCTTTCTTCATGCTCACCCTTCGTTCTTCGTTTTCTTCTTCAATTACATACTCCTTCTTTTACTTCTCTTCTCTCACGATATATATATGTGTGTGTGTGTGTATGTTCGCATTTGCATTGAGACTAGGCACATAGCCACTGTCAAATTATTGTTAGAGTGTATATAATTCATCGACGAAGAACGATGAGAGTCCAAAGAGAAGGAGAAAGAGAGCACATGAGAGGATAGAAAGGAGATAGCGCGTGAAAATGAGCGACGACCGACACAGGACTCGACGAAATGCAGATGATAATCAGTCTAGTGTAATCATTGATCGGCGGGCGGGCGATGGTGGCAAGTCGTTCTTCTCTTTCTCTTCTCTCTCTCTCTCTCTCTCTCTCTTCACGCTAACAACAATAATAGAAATCCTTTTAAGTAGCAGTGCGCATGTAAGCAAAACGAAACAAGCAAAATATCAAATTTTTCTTTTCTTTTTTTGTGTTATTTTAAGTACACGTTACTTTCGTTCTTGATTCATTGTGTTATCATTGTCAATGTCTATATGTGTATGTGTCTTCTTTATCATCATCATCATCATCATCGTTTTTCTTTTGATTTATAATCAAATGCATATGATACTAAGTTTGTGTAATCATCATTATTCACTTCTTTTTCTTCATAGTTGAAGTCTTATTGAAAGAAAAGAAACATCTATAAATCCAACTTATTTGTTACATTTTTTGTTCTTTTGTGCTGTTGGTTATTTGACAATAACAACATCAATTACAACAAACGCGTCATCACCACATCAATTAAGAAATGTAGAAAGAAAGAGAAAAAAGAAAAGAAAAAAAAAAAGAAACATAAATAAAAAGGAGTCTTTTTCAGGTATTCATATTTTATGTCACTATATGGTATGCGTATGCTTATATACGGGTTCATCGAGCCGAACAAACAGAAACATATCCGATACCATAAGTGATTGATTAATCGGATCAACTGACTTTTTTTTTCTCGTTCTGTATATATTTATTATATGTTCGCATCCCTCTTAATCGAGGTATCTCTCATAATTTTTTTTCTTTTTCTATAAAGGACCTTTTGTTCTATTCATTTATCAGAAGCAAAACATTTGAGTCGAACATATACATATACATATGTATCTACATATATTCACACCCTGTTTTATCATTAAACAACAAACGATCGAGGATTGTATGTATTAGACTATAGTAGTGGCTCATGTCACAGTAATAAATAATATAATGTCTATAATATATCTATATCTCAACCAACCCAATGACGAGCGATGAATTGTTGCTGTGTGCATCGTCTGTTGTTTTCTTTTCCTTCCTCTTCAACGAACATTAGCATTGCGCGTTCGTGAGACGCTGTCGTGCAGCAAAAGGAATGAGAGAGAGCGAGCGCGCACACACACATAGAGAGAAGAGAGAGAGAGAGAAGGACCGTGACACGACGCCGGTTTGTTCCTTATTAAGGTGACACTAGCAACAACGAGCTTTCTCTCTCTCTATGTATGCTGTTCTTTCTTTCTCTTCATCGTCTCTGTGTGTCCATTATGATTCGCGTTGATCTATTCACTTTCTTTTCACACTTAACATGCACATTTTGCATCATATACTTCATATATAAACGAAGGTAATTCATAAAGAATAAATGACGAAGCATTATTACTTAAAATAAGCAACAAATTATCGATTTCATTTGTTTTCTTGTTGATATGTATATTATTTATTATGATTATATCTATCAGCATTATTTTTCTCTTTTCTTTTTTATTTTGCTACGACTATTTGTCTTATCGCACTTGGCAAGTTGATCCTTTCTCTTCATATATATATGTGTGTGTGCATGTTATAATTTCTGGTTAATGACATATACAGTAGAACGGCAACGACAACTCGCGCGTCCTGCTAGCATTAATTGTTGTGTTTGAATATATATATATATAGATGTATATATGTTATATACCGCTTTTAATTCATCGACGAATTGTGAGTTGAGTAAAGAATAGAAGTTGAACACTCCTCTCAAGAGATCGGTCAAATGGGCGTGTCGACACGCGATCTTACATATTCTTTTTTTAATTTCTTTTTCTTTTCTTTTCTATACTTGTTCATTTTATTCTTTGATATCGATTCTTCGATTTTCTTTTTCAATTGATTGATCAGAATAACTTTTAAATGTCAATAATCTACACCTGATAAGCTGTCGTGCCGTGCTTCAGCTAACAGAAGGATGATTGATTAGTTTCAAGGACCAAGGCGAGCTCTCTCGTCTTCTTTTCTTTTCCTTTCCTTTTTTTTGCTGTTTCTTTCTCTATCGACCCGTTTCTCATTCTCTGCTGCATCCTACATCCTCACACTGCCTTTTTGATTCTGTATATATATATATATATATATGTGTGTGTGTGTGTATGTGTGCAAGAAATAAGAGAGCGCGAATAAGCAAGCAGAGTAGTCGTTGTCGTCGTCGACATCATTTCCGTTCATTCATCTAAAAGAAAACTAAATTACTTGATGCTTTTTGTTGTTTTTATGTATAGAAAAAGAAAACGGTATATCTATATATATATAAATATAAATAAATATATTGATTAATATTTTTTATTCTGTTTCTTAAAGAGGGTAACAATCAAACATCATCAATTAAAGATAAACAAACGAAAGATTCTGGTATAATACAAGATCCAAATATTATTGGTCGTGAATTATTCGTATCGGAAATCAAAGAATTCTATCCGGCCGTACACATTAAGTAAGAAGAACATTTAAAACCTTATTGACTTAAATAAAGAATAGAACAAAAAAAAACGAGAAAAAGAAGCAGAAAAAAATGACGACCGACAACTGTAATCTCTTGACAAGGAAAAGAGAACAAAGAATATGTAGTTATTGCGTACACACAGATTTATATATATATAAAGATTTGTTTTGTCTATCTAAACCTTTTTTTTTTTTTTATTTAATTCAGAGGTCGGTGCCGTGTTGCTCATTATCAAGATATTGAAGAAGCTCGTGCATTTAAACCTGATCCGGATACATTTTTTTATATATTAACATACAATCCTGAAGCGCGCAGACTGGCGAACACGCAAGGTGAAATACGTGTTGGCCCATCACATCAAGCCAAATTGCCACTTTTGAAATCATATTCATCATCATCATTAACAAATGGTATTAATGATGATTTATGTTCATTACGTGAAGAATTATTATGGAAAAATAAAACATCCGATATTGATTTATCCATGTATTTACAAGCCGCACGATCAATTGCAGCATTTGCTGGAATGTGTGATAGAGGTTTACCAGAAGATATGTATGAAGTAGCACAACGAGATGATACAACAATAAATGCATTAACTGTTTTACATAATCATGATTATGATTGTAAACGTGCTATACAAGCACTTGTTAAATGTCCAATACCGAAAGGTATTGATAGAAAATGGTCAGATGATGATCAAAAAAAATTTATCAAAGGTTTAAGACAATATGGAAAAAATTTTTATCGTATACGTAAAGAACATTTACCACATAAAGAAACATCAGATTTAGTAGAATTTTATTATTTATGGAAAAAAACTCCACAAGCACAATCAAGTCGTCCACGTCGTCGACAACGTCCATGTTCAACATCAACTAATTTATCAACAACACCAACACCAGCTAAACAACGTAATACAAAAACAAATAATAAAGATGGATCCGAACATAATTCTGATAATGATGATAATGCGACAACAACAGATACAGATGAACAATTTTGTCGTCATTGTCAAACAACATCAAAAGATTTACAACCAGGTGGACGTGATAGTCAACAATTATGTTATGATTGTAGGATGTATTATAAAAAATATGGTGAAATGCCAATTATAAATCAAGAACCACCACCATATTTATTTAAACCATTAAATGAAACAAGTCCAAGTAGTAGTAGTAAAAGAAAACGTAATAAATTTAAACAGTCATCATCACCACCACCACCGCCACTACCGCCACCACCACCACCACCACCATTACCTCCATCATCAACATCAACATCAACAGTTGAAAAATCTGATGAAAATAATTTATCAATAAAAACTTCATCAACACGTTCAAAAAAGAAAACTCGTATTAATGAACAAACTTCATTAATAAAACAAGAAGGAGGAGGAGAAGAAGAAGAAAATATAAAAGACGAACCAACAATAAATACTGTAATTAAAAAAGAAGAACAAGAAAATGAAAAACCATTAATAGGTATATATTATGTGTATATTATTTCTGTTTTTGAAAAGTAGACAAACTTTTTTCTACAAGAAAATCTTTCACATAAATATTACTAGCAATGTGTAGTTTTAGTAAAGGGTTCACGAAAAACTGATACTAACTAATCTGAATTATGGTTTATTGATTTATCTGATACATGCATACTGAAAAAAATGAAGTTTTGTTTAACGAAATCTAAAAAGATTCTTCCTGTGAATACAAACTCGAAATCATTTTAGACTTCATACAAAAAGCGCAAAGTCTTTTTCACTCCATGGATCTTACAAAATGAATTATACTTTTCGTATAGAAGCTTTTTGGATTTGAAAAGAAACTCAAAAATCTTTCGAGTTTGTATTCGCATGAAGAACTTTTTTTAGATTCTGTCATAGAAATTTGTTTTAGAGTGTGTTCATACTTTAGTGAACATCAATTCATTGTATCAGTAGTTTCATTGAAACTGCGTATTTCTAAACGTTATTTTTTCTATTTTTAGAACCTTTAGATTCGATACCTACGACAACAACATCAGGTTTTCTCATTAAAACTGAAGAATTATCATCATCAACCCTATCTCAACCACTACCACCACTAATAACTAATCCGATAGTATGTAAACAAGAAATCAATTCTCCATCATCAATTTTATCAACTGGTGCTGCAAAAATAACAAATAAAATTCTTATTGATCATACAAAACAAACAAATTCAAATTTTATTTTATCTCCATCAGCAACAATTAAATCTGAGCAAATAAATCCAAATGAAAATTTATCAACACTTCATTCGAATTTATTACAATCATCATCATTATTATCTTCGCCTCGTTCAGCATTTTCACGTACATCAAAAACATCATCTATTCATAGCCCTGATCAACGACGAATACCTAAAGGTATATGAAATAGTTTATTTTTTTTATTGAATTAATCGAAAAAATAATGTTGTTTGTTTTTGTTTTCTATTGTAGATGAAGAATTAGATTCTCCATCATCACATCGATCACAATCACATTTAAATAGTCTTAGTCATACACCGAAATCAACTCCGATTCATCCAACCATTCTTAGTGGTGATGTAATTCCATCATCTCTTAGCTTACCACTACCAACATCAGCACCGCCACTACCACCACCACCACCACTTCTTATTCCATCATCATTAAATGAATCAAAAGATAACGATTCATTAACAAACGATATTACTGATGATGGAAATATATCGGATAGTTCAATAAGTGGTAACCATGAAATCATATGGGATAATGGACCAGCACCGTTAACATGTGAAAGAGGTTAGACAAAAAAATTATATTAAAAAGGAAGCATAAAATAACCGTCTACTTTTCTTTTGTAGAATGTTATAATAAACCGCAAAGCATTGTTTTATTACAAGTTTACGATCGATCAATATCGCAAAATTCTTGTGCACGTACCGATATCATACTTAAACGTGGTTCACGTGTACGCCAGAAACAACAACAACAGCAACAAGTATCATCAAATAATAATGAGCAACAACAACAACAACAACAGCAACAGCAACAACAACAACAACAACAACAACAACAACAACAACAACAACAACAGCAACAACAAGAAATGTCATCAATGTCTTCATTACCACCAGTACCATCATCTGCCACTTTGATGATGATGGGACTTAAACAAGAGGTTGGAAATTTATCTGTATATCTATACAAGAAAAGAAAAACGACCAATTCTTTATCATCATTTTTTTTTAATTTATTTTTAGAAATTACCCTTCTCTTTGGATAAAGGGCCGCCATTACTTCATACATCTGGTCCATCACCATTTCCAACACTTAATCCTCATCATGATCCATTATTAATGAATCGTGGTAGTTCTTTATTTCATCCATTACCATTACATGCTCTACCCGGTGGACCTAAACCACCTGGAACTGGTGCAAATGGGCCACCGCCATTAAATTTTTCTTCCCCCTTTGCTCCATCATTACATGATAATGCTGCTGCATTACGTCATCTAGATCCGTTAGGTTTTCGTTTAATGAATCCTGCAGCAGCTGCAGCCGCTGCTCAATTATTTGCTGCTCAAACACATTATAATAATAGTGTTGGACGTCCAACTCCTGGTAGTTTCGATCCTACTACTGCAGCTCTTTTACTTGATCCTCGTTACCGTAGTATGATGCAACCATTTGGTACTCCATCCCCTTCATCATCTGTATTACCGTCACCATCAAATAGTACGTCAGCATCCGCTAATTCTGTTTCAAATAACACACATAACCATTCTCATATTCATTCTCATTCACATACACATCTTCATTTGGGTAACAATAATGATTCATCATCATCATCAAATAATTCAAATGGACCTACAATACCACCACCACCACCACCATCATCAATGATGCCATTTGGTAATCCTCTTTCAAGTAAATTTTCCTTTTTTTTTTTTTTTTCTAATAAACTTAATTATTATGTTTATATGATAATAGGTCTATCGCACGGTGGCCCGTTATTACATTCAGCTGGTCCTCCACCACCACCTCCAACATCAATGGCAAGTCTTGAAGCAATGCATAATTTTTCACGTGAACGTGAATTAATGGCATTTATGTTAGCTAATGGTGCACGATTTGATCCAATGGCATTAGCACTTGCTACTAATCCACTTCAAGTATAAGAATTATTATTTATATAATGAAAAGAAAGATAAAAAAGAATAATTATCTTATTTAATTATAGATGCCACGTCATGAGGATCTCTCTCGATTAAATGCACGAGAACGATCAATACGTGAACATAATGAAAATGAATTTCGTCGTTTCAATTTAGATATTGAAAGACAACAACAACTTCGATTTCCATTTCATCATTAACCTGATAAATTAGTTCGGTAAATAGAAAAAACAAAGTTTTTTTTTTCTCTATTAAATCTTTTCTTATTTATAAAATTTTCTTTTTTAGACGATTCTAAATAATTACCTATTTTTGGTATATTCCGACAGTGAAACGCAAGAAAAAAAAGCTTGTTTCAATATTTAAAGCAAAAAGAAATTTCAAAAGATATCTATTATCTAATCATTTCTATTATTCATAATGTAGATTAGTTTGCTTCTTCCGTCTATTATTAAAACACATTAAAAAAAGACATTTATCCTTTTGTACTCGGTGCTTTTCGCCGTTTTTCTCCTTGTCATATTTTGTTTATAAAATGTACAAACGATATCATTTTCTCTTTTGTTTTTTCTTTCTCTTTCTCTTGTACTTGTTGTGCTAGTTTGTTGTGTTGGTCTGTTTTGTTTTTTTTCTTCTCATTCTCTTTTTGAAAAGTATTTTGTTTGAATGAAACAAAGAAATTCTTATACTCATTATAATATACTTCATTATATAGAAGATCAGATAAAATTGCTTTTCTTTCAAATCCAAACACACACACACACACACACACGCAAAGATCATTTATTATTAAAAATACACAAATTGTTGGCTGTTTTTGTGTTTTAGAAATCAAGGCATGTTGAAGGCCTGCTTAATAAAAAAGATTAGTTTTGTATATGGTGTTGAAAAATGTGTTCCTACTAATAGACATAACGATAGCTAAGACAAATATTTACTTAGTCATAGAAAAAGAAAGATAAAGTATTAATAAAAACGTGCCAACAAAGAACAAGCATAAATGATTGTCACGCAAGGATTATAACAATCTATTCTTTTCTTGCTTATTTCTATAAGTTACATACAAGAATGTTGACATGATGATTATCTAGATTGCTCTATATTATAAAAATTCTAATGAATGAAATAATATTTCTTTTTGTCTTAGTTACTAATTTTCAATAAAGAATTTTGTTTTATTTAATAATTTTTTTTATGTAACCTTATTCGATGCAAACATCTAATACAAAATTAATAAAAAAATCCGAATTAAATCTGAATGATAGTGAATACAATCAAGATCGAAATTCATCACAAGATATAAATCAATTAACATGTTATTTAAAAGATGCTATTTTTTCTAAATATATTTCTAATTATTTAATTGAAAAAGTAGAAAAGGTAAACGATTTAATTAATTCTTTGAGTGTCATTACTCAACCATGACATTTAGAGATTTTCGAAGATGTGTGATTATTGTTAGCAGATAATGCTGATCTCCCAACAGATTTAAGTCTCTTTTCCTGAATGATTCGTGAGATATAAACGTTTTATTTTCTATATTCTAGAATGCTAATAATTCTTGACTCAAGAGAGATCAAGACTTTTTTGTTTTACTAAATTATAGTTTTGACTCTTCGCTATCGACAACACGAAATTGAAGTGTTGACTATTAATAGCTTTTGAAATCCAGCTATTTTACGATCGAGTGCCACTTTTGAAGTTTGAGGCTTTCTTTCCATCAAAAAAAAAAAGTTCGAAGCTTAGCGGAGATATTATTATTTTCACTTCAAAGTTGTTACATCAGATATTCTAAAATGTCTTTCGATTATTTACACAGAATATAAGAACTAACTAGTATATGATTCGAATAATTTATTGAAAATGAACATTTACTATTCCAGGCTAAAGATGAGAAATCAAGGATAGTTCATTCTATCACATTTTCTGTGGTTAATGTCTGTCATCATCATCATCTAAAAATACAATAATGAAAATCTAGAGAGAAAATATCCATCGCTAAATATTGTTAATAAAATTCGACACTGATCCAAAGTCTAAGTCATTTTGTTTTACATCTTTTTTCACTTTCCATATACTTGGAAGGAAGATGAATATCATAATCGAGATCAACCAATAATACCACTATATCGTTAGGTCTCGATGTCTTTCTTACGTTTGCAAATTATTCAAAAATTAAGAAACTCTATAAAAGTGTACTGAATTCTATACGATGATCTTCAAAGGATTAATCAAAAAACGAAAAGAAAAAAGAATTGATCCTTGAATTTTTATTATTGAAGATGTGGATATTATATGAAAAACGTATTGATAAATTTCTCAAGAACAAACATCTTAATATAACTTGTAATCATATTCGTCCACAAGTAAAGTATTCATAATCATACTATTACAATAAAAAATAATGATCTTTAGATAGCTATTAAACTTGAAGAAATAATTAAATATGAACAAGAAAATATAGATTCATGTAAACGAGATATTGAAATTTTATGTTCTTCACGCAAGCGATTACGAAATGATGATAAATATTCAGTGCAACTACAATCAACTCAACATCCACACACTACTTATAGTTCAACTCGTGTACCAAAAACACCACGATGTATCGATCGGTTAGAATTTATTTTAAATCGTATTTATCAAAAAAAAAAAAAAAACAATCATTTTTCTTGTTTAGTTCTGATGTAACAAATGATATTTATAAAGATAATATCGATGAACTTGATGAGTCAAAATCAAATCAAATAATCAATCAGGAATCAAATAAATCTTCTTTCTTAAATTCATCTCATAATAATCTTCGTCATTGTATATTTCAACATGGTGAAATATTACCACTTGATCCAAATACAAAAACTCGAACAATAAGAATTACATATAAGTGTAATAACTAGAATAAATAAATCACTAAAAAAAGACGAATTTGCATTAAAGTTTACTTTAAAAAAAATGCCAATGGCGTATTTCTTTTCAATTCTATTTCAATGTAAAGAACTATTTTATATATTGTTCTTGTCTCAAACATATGCGTAGAAAAAAAGTAAATAAAAACAATCAATCTCTTTTTTCAATCAATGATCTAATGTTCACATCAGAATTCACTAGAGACGATTGTAAATTCGATAACTCGACAACGGCAACAGCTAGTGACTTGAAATTTTCAGCAATAAAACAAAAACAAAAAAAGAAAGAGAACTCGGGATATATTTTTGTCTGTATAAAACAAAATTATTTTGAAAACTATCATGTTTTCAAAATGCATGAAAATTGTGCTCTGTTTCGAGTTAATTTTGGTTTTGACATGTGATTTAGGAAGAAGCAATTCAAATCTTTAGTTCACGATATGACTCAGTTAATTATATTCTCATATCTCAATATTCAGCAAACAAAATCACGTATCCATTCGGTCAAATTATATATACTGGATAGTTCAGATTAAATCGCAGCGTTTTTACTTTTTTTAATTTCGTTTTGCTATTTCAGTTATTTGTATTTTTTTTTCACTAAAAGATGCTCTGAGAAAGGCTCTACGACAACTTAATATTTCACTTATCTACTATAAATTTCAATATTTGAAAAAAGCTGAGAATATTGTGCTTAAAAATTAATGTAGATTTCGAAAAGATCTTTTAATTGTTACATTTCGTATAACGTAGAATTTATGAATTAGTGAGTTTTTATCAATTATTTGAATAAATTCATTCTAAATAGAGTAGACTTGATAGTTTCTATGAGACAGTTTTGCTGTTCCATTCTCTTTGAGCATTAGACTAGTTCACATAATTGATTCAAAATCGTTAATCAAGGAATTTTTCATTATACGAAACATTACACTGAAAAACTCTTTTAGACAGTTGCACTCATTTGTAAAAAAAAGAGTTTTCTAACCTTTTATCAAATAATGAAGGCTATAATAGTCAATTGAAAGATGCTATTTTGAAGAGCATTTCACGACGCATCTTTTGGTGAACAAACAAAATACGAGAAAAGACTGAGATAGTAAAGTGAAATAGAAAAAATAAAGACATCGCTATTTAGTCTGGATCTTTAGCAAGTTTACTGACTTTTTATCGAAACTCTCCTCGAAACAGAACATTGTTTTCGTACATTTTTTTAAATTTTTCGCGAAAACAATGGGTTTTAAGATAATTTTGTCTTTGATGGTATCAGACAAAAAAGAACATCCGACATTCTTCTTTTTCGATTGCTGCAATTTGCAGGTCACTAGCTATTGCCATTGTTGAATTATTGAGGTTATACTCACCTTTCTTTAATGGTGACTCGGATAGTAGTAATGATTATTCGAAGAAAGATCAACAAGATAATTCTATATACAAATTCATTTGATGTTTTTGTGGAACTTATTTATATTTTCGAAGAAAATAGTGAGTATAAGTTTAAACTGGGTGTTTTTTTGACTTACCTCATCCTTAGATCTTAGTAATTGAGAACAATAGGCTTCAGAGTACTTTCCCCGTGTTTCTTAGCTTAGATTGTTTTAGAATATTTCAAAGCCGTCCTTGAAATTTCATTGGTTGAAACATACATGTGAATGTTCTAGTTATTGAAGCTTTTGATTTTTGCGCAGATAACATTTTTTATTCATGATATCAAGGATAATGGGTAGTCATGCATATATTTGACATGGTCGTTATATGATTAACATAAAAAAGCGTGAGCTAATCAAATAATAAGTTTGAGAAGTAATCTATACTATTGCTTCTGAGCTTATCCAGATATTGAATAGTCTATTGATACCTGTTATAGATATAACGTATATGTACAATAAGCTTATTTATCCATGATTAGAATAATAATAATCATTAATTAAGCAAAAATGGAATACAGAAAAATGACAACGAAAACAATTTCTGTCCAAAATGCAGAAATAAAAGACAGATCGTTTCTGTAGCCACCTGGTTATTCTTAGAAAACAGTTATAGTTTACTAGAGATTTTTTTTGCTTGACATATTTTGTATTAGTATAATGAAACTAAAGAACACGTAAAATTTCCATATTCTAACGGCAAAGATGTTGTGCTACAAAGTTTGTTAAAAACTTTTCGGATATATTGAATATTATTTATTCACTAGAAAATGGTTTATAATATATTTTCATTAGATTATTTGAGACAACTTTATTCAAAAACATAAAATGATTATACAAAAAAGAAAAGAAAAAGAAAAAAAAAACAACAATAGAATACATCAATTGAGTATGAATTATTTACAAGAATTCAGTCATTATTCATTTTTAAGCATATTCTTTTTATAACGTCCACGTTTATTTCCAAACCAATTGTTTACCTGAACAAAAATAGATCGATTTTTGTAATAAGAAAAATGAAAAAAGAAAAACTAACTTGAGAAATAGTAACACCACATTTACGTGCTAATTCTTCTTTAACTTGTTCCGATGGATAAGGATTCGATAAATGTGAATAAAAATATTCATTTAAAATTTTTTGTGTTGTTTTATCAAAATTTCGTCGTTTTCGTCTAGAAAGAAAATAGAAAATTTCCGTTTATTTTTTGTTTTCTCTAATACCTTGCATCAAGAAAACGTGTACGTAAATTCATAACAGCTTCACAAGTATTTTGTTTTAATTGAATTTGTATTAAACATAATTTTTTTCGTACAATTGAAATCATGTGTGAAATTTCTTCTGATGTTATTGGTCGTACTTGTGATTGTTCATGAAGTAATGTTAAAACATGTGTACAAAAATCATTTGAATTTTTGTCAAATTTTGCTAATTCAGTATGATAAAAATGACGAATACGATTTAATTTTTCTTCATATTCAGGATGTTCTATTTCAATTGAATTATTAGTTGATACCTCATTTGGATATCGATCTATGATACGTTCAGCTAAAAGCATTGTATCGAGACGAGCTAATTCTTGTTTATATGAATCATCATCATTGGATATTTGACGCATATTAAGTCCTAATCAAAGAAGAAAAAAATATTCTTACATCATTTCTTCTGAAAAAATCGATTATACAAGAAACAAATTATAACTTAAACATGAAAGTGCATATATTTCTAATGTTCATAAACTATTGCTGAACTTTCCTTATTAAATTAGAGATGTACGAGTCTGGTGTTAGATATTTCTCAGTTGTGGTGACCAGTGCCGAAACAAGAGAGAAAAAGTCCTTTAAACCGAAACTAAAATTTGTACTAGAATTTTTTTTAATGACTTTTAGCCAATTATATCAATAAAAGTAAAATTCAGAAGAAATGACCTAAAAAACAGTGACATTTGTCAGCTAAATTAATCAAAACACGAGTATTTAAAATAGTTTTCTCTATGTTGGAGCCACTGAAAATGACGTTATCGGGTCTCCGCATCTCTATATTAAAAACAGATTCGTATACACATTTAACCCTATGAGTACCATTGCTCGACTAGGATAGATAGATGCTTTGAACATTGTATGATCATTATTATCAATGCATGCTGATTATCCAATAATGTTTAGACTTCTTTCCCTGGATGGTTCGTGAGATATAAACGTTTTATTTCTTCTAATATAAAATGCTAATAACTATACTCAAGAGAAATGAAGATTTTCTTTGTACGGAAATGTAGTCTCGACTCTTCTCTATTTAGAATATGAAATGCAACCGTTAGCTCTTAATAGTTCCTGAAATAGAGTTATTTTACGATCGGGCATAACTTTTGATCTTCAATGCCTTCTTTCAAGACTTAGATGCGAAGTATTATTTTCACTTCACATTTATTCAAGGTACCGTGGAATGTCTTTCAACTATTTACACAAAATATGAGGATTAACTAGTATATGCTTCTAGTAATTAATTGAAAATGAACATTTACTATTTAAGATCAAAAGATAGAAAAGCAAGTGTCATCCATTCTACCATATATTCTGTGATTTATGCCCGTCATCATCATATAAAAATTAAAATGTAGGCGGAAAAATATGCATTGGTTAAATATTATCAAAAATACTCCACACACATGTCATTTCATTTACTTTCTTTTTTTTTTTTCATGTCTCATATATTTGAAAGCAAAACTGAGATCAGTCAACAAAACTACATCGTTACATCTCGATATTTTTTTTTTCTTTGACAATTTATCCAAAAATTAAGAAACTATCATATCTTGATCTTCAAAAGACTAACTATTCTAAGAATTGCTTCATCTTGACAAAGTGTAAATGTCAATTCATATTGCATTAGATGAATTCATCATCTAGCTATATTTGTATTCTGTTGAAAGTTATGATCAACAAATACTTAATAATACCATTAATAATAATACAAAAGTACTCATGATATAAGTACATTAGACACAAAGTAGTAGTTGTGTCATAATTTATTTGTATTAAAATCAATCGAATTGGGGTTTGTATTTTGTGAATGATCGATAGAAAGTTTAATCTAATTGAGTGAAATCTTTATAGTGTCCAGAAGAAGGGCAACTATATTGTAGTTTACAATTATAAAAATAAAGTATTAATACAGTTTTTTGTTATTTTTTTCTTACCATTTTTTTGTTTAATTTCTCGAAGTATATCAAATAATATTGGTTGCATTGGATTTCGATTAAATGCTTCTTTATATTGTTGGGCATCATCTAAACGATCATTTATAATTGACATAATTCGATTAATCATTTGCGGTTGTTCTTGATTATTCATATTTATATAAAAAGCATTTTCAAGTGGCGTCAAAATATGATAAGATGATGATAATTGATCTTCTGTACTCATCTAAAACAAGTTTTTCGTCTTTATTTTTCTTTTATTTATAGTTAAAAAATATAAAATTTAATTTATAAATAAAAATATTCATATATTTTCAGTACATCGAATAAAACAATTTAAAGTAATCTGTAACAACAAATAGAAAGCATAAGTATAGATCACACAATTGAGAAAACAAGAAAAAAATAACAACTGATCTAAAAAAATATTGTCCATAATAAAACAAAATAGATTTTAATAATCTAAAACTTAAGAAAAAAGAAAATGAATGATTAAGAATAGAAAATATTAAAATGAATAATACCATTTGGAAAACTATCATGATTATGACGAGGAGCTTGTGAAGCTAGTCTTGTTGCATAGATGTTTGCTTCTTCCTCAGTTTTATGAATATTTTTTTTACATCGAATACGTTTATTACCAAACCAATTACAAACCTATAATGAAGTAAATATTGTTTGATAAAATTGATAGCCGAAAGAAAAATCTTTTCCATTAGATGCAATTTACCTAATAAAAAACATATCTGATTATGATACGAAGCAAATTGCACATTTTTTTTTTTCAAGTTTTTAAAAGCTTTCATATAGAACAAACTTAAATTTAAATAAAACATTGAAAGTTATTCGTTATTTGTTCAGCAATTTAAACCATTATGATATATGTATTCTACGGTTTATCGTTTGAATTTTGTCAGGTAGGATGAGAATCATATCTTCCTTTGTTAAATATCCTCATTGGTTCAATAATTTCTTACAAAAAAAAAAAAAAAAAAAAACAGAACTCGATTCTTCTTCTAAACTATAAATCCATACAAAAAGGATGGTCCAAGTTACAATTCCCATTTTTGATCCTTCTCTCTTTTCCTATCTCTCTGCTTCTGACTAATAATCCACTTGTGAACGTCTGCTTTCTAGAACTTTTTAGAAAGAGTCATTTTTTTATGATCCATTTTATAGTGACACTTATAAGTGTGCACAGCGAACTTATTCATAAATCGAAAGAAAAAACAGGACTACGACGGAGGATCATAAGACCATATGCCTATTCTACACTAGCGGACTTCGATGATTCCTGAAGACTAGTCATATGGGAAGGCATGATACTCTGGAGAATTAATTGAAGAATTCTAATCAGGCGAGGAGTGGTGAATACTTTTTGATCTTTTAATATCTCAATCTGTTTCATCGAAAAAAAGTGACCAACACCGTTATTAAGAATTTCCTTGTTCTAATACACTTTTTTTTTGCATTCAACATCTGATATAGATCATTTATTCATAGATGATTCATCATAGTTCTAAGTTGTTCTTTTCGAAAGGCTGTTCAAAACCAATTTAACTTCAACATTTTTTTTAAAAAAACGACAAGAATCGTAATAAATGTTCAGACACGTCTGATGTCCTTCATCAACATCGGCGCATTTTCAGCATAGAAGATGGACATATGACTTTCTTCCTCAGAAATGATTGGATGTGACGCAAAAAAAGTAAAAAATTTTCTGAGAAAAACCGTTTTTCAACGAAAAATACCTGAAAAACTTAAATTTTTAGGGAACTCACTGCGCAGTTCCGAAATGTTTGTGTTAACAGTGATTAGGAACAGTAGATAGAAGAACATTCTGACAAAATTTGAAAATGCTTGACAGATAGATTGCTCATATTACGAGACGAGCTGTTCAGGTGACACTGTAGAACAATATTTTTTTTCTGAGAAGCTAACGCGCAAATGAAAAGAAAAAAATTTTTTTCCATTATATAGAACTTGGCGCAGAAACTCGTAAAATATACTTGGTTGGTCGGTCGAACAGTTTACTTTTCTTAAATATCAATGTTGCCGATGACATCACGATTTTCAGACTATTTTTTTGGGGGAAAGTATCTTCTCAATTTCTTTAAGAGTTGTAACAAAGTTATTGAGACCATTACATAGACTATATTTCTCTATATCTAAATCTTGACAAAAATGGAAATTTTCATCGTTATCCAAATGTGTGCCTAC